ATGGATGGATGGATGGATGAATAGATGGATGGCTGGATGGTGGATGAATGGATGCGGTGGGATGATGAGTCGCCCTTCTAAGGTGTCCTCTCCTCTTCCCTTGCAGTCGTCACCCAGCGACTGCAGTAACTTCGACAAAGAGTTCCTGAACGAGAAGCCGCGGCTGTCCTGCGCTGACCGCACTCTGATCAACAGCGTGGACCAAACCATGTTCAGGAACTTCTCCTTCGTGAACCCGGGGATGGCTCGCATGGTGGGGCGCTGACCCAAAACAATGACATAAACTGAAAGACTTCAGACTGTGATTGCAGACAGAACCAGCAACATGTTGGACCCAGTTGGTTCTGTTCTGATCATTTTGCTGTAAAACAAACTTTGAATTATTGACTGTGATCCTTCTCAGACCCAGAAGAACCATTTTCTCTCTGATCCAGAACTTTGGTTCAATAAATTAAGGTTTCTGCTGTCAGGTTCATCAAACATGGAGCTAAATGTAATCCGATTTAATGCAAACCTGTTGAGTGTCAGTAGTTAGACCCAAATCCAGCAGATCCAGCTGTTTAGAAAGTCCAGAACTGGTGCGCTTCCACCAGCTGCTACTTGACTCTTCTGGTCACATGAAGCCCGTTTCTGGAAATGTCTGGACGTTATCTGTGAACACGGTTCTGATGGTTCTGCGGGGAATGAAAACCAGTTAATTCCAGCTGATTTCTCCATCCACCGCTAATGTAGAAATATCTCATCTAGAAACGTGTTCTTCTGGGTCTCAGGGAGGTTCTGGTTTGTAAATGAAGCTGCTTCATGGGAGGAGTTTGGATTTATTGAGAAATGGTCCCTCAGATGAAAACAGCTGTACTGTAGTCCTGGTTCTGATTTGGATCCATCAGATGCCCCTCTGTCCCTGCACATCCTGTATCATCACCTTCATCATGTTAATAAAGTCTGTGATTGTATCCGACTGGTTCCCGGTTCTTTCCAGCCTCCACAAAAACCCAGAGATGCTTTAGAAGATGCACATTTCTAGGAGAGACACCAGAACCCATCAGAACCGGACCTCAGACTCACCTGATCAGAACATTCTGACTCACCCTGATCTGACACCGGAATGACAGATGACAGCACAGTGGATGTGAGGCTTAACGATTTTGGGCCACAGCGCCCCCTGCTGACCTCATCCAGTCCAGAAGTGTTTCTACATTCACGAAATATTGTTTTGATTTTACTGGTTCATATTGAAAATATCTCTGACATATCTTAAGAAGTTCTTATTTATTCTTCTTACAATTTGCGCTCTGATTTTTATTTTCTTAAATATACATTTTTTTTATTGAGCTTCCATAACAGTTATAGAAGAAACCACTGAATGCCAGCAGGGTATCAGGACATACAGTAGGACACAAATCTGTGAAAAGATAAAATTATACATTGAAAACTAATTTTAACAGCATACTTTGTTTCAATAAAGTTTTGGTTTTCCAGGTCTTTTATTTA